GCTCAGGAGAAGCTATTTCTTCCCAAACTGCTGGAAAATTGCAACGGGGTCCCATTCCAAAATCGGGGACAAAATCTAAACTTACCCGTCAATTACAGACCAATAAGTCTGCTTTCCTCAGTCTCAAAAGTATATGAATATGTCTTACTTAATCGCCTGAATGAATTCTGTCGAGATCAAAACTTAATCATCCCGGAACAATTCGGCTTCCGACCTAAACACTCCACGGTACACCAGATACTACGTGTAGTGGAATTCATTCATGAAGGCTTTCGTAAGCGAGAGAAAACTGGTATAGTCTATTTGGACGTTGCCAAAGCCTTTGACAGGACTTGGCATGACGGGATTATTTACAAGTTCAAGCGGCTTGGTTTTTCGGCTCATCTCATTAAAATTATTAACTCGTACTTGACCAGACGCAGTTTCCGCGTGCGAGTTAACCACGAATTCTCCTCTCCCCGCCCAATCTATGCTGGGGTAGCTCAAGGTAGCCTCCTTGGCCCGTCAATCTTTAACTTTTATGTAAATGATATTCCTAAGGCCCCAAATATCGATCTTGCGTTATACGCAGACGATACAGCCATCATTTCACAACACTCCAACACCCTCCAGGTAATCTCCCAATTGCAGAGTTACCTTTCGAACTTAGAACTCTGGCTCGGTCTGTATAAAATCAAAATTAATGTCGCAAAATGTGCTGCCACTATGTTCATCCGAAGAAATATCCCAAGTTTACCTAATTTAATGCTCTTCGTTGAACCCATTCCCTGGGTCTCTTCTTACAAATATCTAGGTGTTTTACTAGACTCAAAATTAACTTGGCAGCCTCACATCCGCAAAATCATAGCGGGTGCGACAGCTGTCAAAACCGCCCTACGCCCTCTTTTAGCTAGTAATAGCGACCTGTCAACTGATAACAAAATCTTGCTCTACAAATCAATGATTAGGCCTGTTCTTACATATGCGTGTCTCGTCTGGGGCCCATCTGCACTGACTAACAGAAAACATGTCCAAATTTTTCAATCTAAAATGCTTCGGCAAATTTTAAAAGCTCCGTGGTTCGTACGGAACGAAGAGATTCATAATGACCTCAAAATTTTGCCCATTAATCGCTATATACAGCGACTTTCGGAAAAATTTTTCAAAAATATTCAACGTGTTGCAAATCCTGTGCTTCATATGCTACCCGTATACGATCCTGCTGTTGCTTCTTCCCGGAAAAGACCCAGAGCGGTTCTTAACCGGGAATATTCAGCTCTTCCATTTAAACGGGCTAGATATGAGCACACTGACAGCCACGTGAATAACTACCTCTCGTTCCTTAACCCCCCCCCCCGCCTCTAAAGTTCTTTAATGCACACGGCATTAACTCGAGGAACCCCCTCTAACGTTTCTTTAATAAGAAACATCACAGTCAAATAGGACTGATTTAAAATATTTTAACTTATCAATTGTAAACTGTAAACTGTAAAAGATTTTTAATTATAGCTTCTTTCTTCCTTAAAAAGGAACTTTCTCAGGCGCTTAACAGCGTCCTTTTTGGCCTTTAAATACCGCATAGAATAGCGGTCAAAAAACGGAACTTCTCCCTCCCAGCTGATCACTGGCAGAACTACTTTTTCGACCTGTAAACAGGTTCCCCCCCTCCCTCCACCCCTGAAGAATGCGCATCGGAAAATCTCCCCTGCGTGTTCTTCACCTCTGACGTATGCAAAACATGATTATCAAGGTCTTCACCTTTTATTTTTCTAGTCTAAATTTTATGGCTGCCCCTATCTAAATTATTCTGGCCCTTTTTCGGCGCAAAATTAAGACCTTCTGAGTTTTTTGCCTTTTTTTGACTCAGTGTGAAGGCACTTATTCCAAGTCATTCGGCTTTTCAAAATTTTACCCTATTTGACAATCCCCTCTTTTTGATGATGTTAATTTCCTTTGAAGATGTGGAGGTAAAGGCGTAATTGCCTATGAACTTCGTAACATGCACTTCCTTGATCCTTGATCCGTACTCGTTTGGACGCTTTTACGCTGGTAACGTAAAAGCGTGTTCGTCAGCTACGCTTCGAGCGTACTTGTGTGGACGGGCCTTTAAGCATTTTTGGCAAAATTTGGGCTTCGTTTATACACTTCTTTAATATTTTTCGAGCGATTTTAAATTTCTGTAAAGACGTCTAAAGCGTTTTTAAAGGAAACACTGAAAACGTTTGAACACGTCTTAAGCAGTTAAAGGGTTAATGTTTTGTGTGCTACCTACCTACCTTTTTTATAAGTATCAATTCTTCGCGCTTAAAACCACAAATTCATTTTAACAGCAATATCCAAAATAATTTTAAAATGAACATATCGTTAAAATTTCCGATACAGAGTCTCGTGCGTTGGGGATATAAATATTTTTCTGTTTCCGTATAGTGTTGCAATTGATCGCTTTGAAATCGTTTAGTTTGTTAATCAAAAATTCGTTGAAGTGTTGCAAAATATTAAATCTATAATAAAACAAATTTCGGTACTTTTCCGTTTTGCCGGGGCAAGCGATAAAGTCGCCAATATTGGTACAACCGATGCCAAACAGAATATTCTCGCTGGTAACTTTTTACGCCTCATTTTCAAAACAAGTCGCAGCTTTTTCTGATTGTTTCTTTCAATACTGGCATATAATTACATAGAATTTTTATCAGATAGTTCAGTTTTATGTCTAAGGCTATTTCGGTAGTTAAGTCAATTAGGATTCAATCACAGCGCTTACCCGAAGTCGAAAATATAGAAAAGGTAAAGTCTAATGAGAATGCATTAGCGAAGTAAAGCACTGCGTTTGAAATTTCTGAGTAAGCTATTCGTACGAATTGAAATATTTCTTGCATTTAAACTTGTGCTCCAAATTAAGATTTAACTTGAAATTAATGTAGATAATTACTAAGAGCATTAGATTTTTTGTAGAGTAGTTTACGTGAGAGAGATCGCTTGGGGTCACGTGATATGAACCCTTGATCAGGATGTTTTGAACCATGAAAGCATAGTAAATTCTTAAATTAATGCCTTTTTTACAAATTTTATTGTCTTTATTTATTGGCTTTTTATAAAATTTTAAGCGATATTAAAATGTTTATGCCTCATCAAAAAAAAATTCTTAAACTAACACTTTTTTAATATTTTTCATGTGTATACTGTATGTTGTCGCCAATAAAGTCTGCTTGGCGAGATTTGCGCCGGCGAAACGGAAAAGTACCCAAATTTATAATTCAAATTAGGACTTCCACATGCCCATATTGTATGGAAAATTACGTTATTCAAATTTTGATGGCTCTAGGTACCGTTGTTTTATCATAATGAGAGAAATATACATACACTTATGCAGATTTTTCATTGTTTAATTTCTTTAAATATAATACAGGGCTCTAATATTTGGTGGCAACAATTTGAAAAGTTATTCGCCGTTTATAGTTTTCAACGCAAAATGCCCAAAAAAAAAAAAAAAGAATTAATAGTCTTTCTGGGCAAATTGGCCCTTTGGACTTAAAAATAAAAATAAATAATAAAAATAAAAATTTTTGCAAATTCTTTAATGAGCATAATGTGTATCTTGTCAGAAAACTAACGTATTTTTAACTTTCATTGTTCTAAACCAAATATTTTGGAGTACAATGTATACAGTGCACTCTGTCGTAGATCACTGTCCTTGAAAATGGCTAATATTTCTGACAACATGGATAAACTTTGCATTACCTCGATGTGACCTCGTCAGCTGGCTGAGACGCACCATCGTCACATTGGTATGACGGCCACCTCCTTAGAACACCAAAATCATCTCTAACTATAGGTACTCGTTTTCTGTATTATATATTTCGTATTTTTGCACCAAATTTTAATAATTTAAAATCAAAGTACTAATTTGAAATAGAAATAGCGGTACTGTTCTGTTATCGGGATCGGATTCAGACACTGCCAAAAGCTGACGATCTGGGGAAAAATTCGAAGCATAAAAATAATCGCCAAAATATTTGCGGTACGTTTAAGTTGAAGAAAAATCGAAGCGAAAAAATAACATCAGATGTTCGTAAAGTTAGACATTTTAATGTAATCTAAACAGCTTGCCAAAGAAATCAGAAAAAAAAAAAAAAAAAAAAATCCTTTTATGGTCTTTTGTGCACTTTTGTTCAGACTGAATAATTCCTCGTTCCTGGAGAAATTGTATGGAAGATGTTTCATCATTAGGCAAGACCAAATTTTCAAATCCGTGGTAAATACAATAATAATAAAAACACAAGTGACCGTTACATCTTTAGAATTTGCATTCTCATTGCCAGTTCTGAAAAAGCATTTTTTTACTTTTTCTTAAAAAAGTTAACATTGTAACGACTTTCGACATAAACACTGGCAACATTGTAACGACTTTCGACATAAACACTGGCGACTTCTTAGTTTAACGAAACATTTGACGACGACTCCGGTCCCGATAACAGAACAGTACCGAAATAGCATTTGATTTTATAAAACTGATTCATATAACATTCGAAAAATTTAAAAGAAATAAACTATAGGACTTAATTCTTAAATATGCAATAAATGGTAATTACTAAACGTATATAAAAAGCTAGCATACCTTCATTTTAAACTGCCATAAATTTATATACACATGAAAAAGTAATATGCGCATTCGTATAGAAGTAAAATCATGTCATAAAGCATACTTTAAAAAAGCTGAAATATTCTTTTAAGAAAATTAATTTATTTTAGTAACACTTTAGTATATATACATACCTTAACTTAATAATTTAATATATTCTTCATTTAAACCACTACCGTTGTACGAAAAGCTGTTTACAGGAAATTTGGATAGTTCAGCAATTTAACCTGTCAAATTTATAATACTCTAAATATTTTTCACGTTTTTTAACATTTTAGTTATTTTTTCAATAAAATGAACACTTATAATTATTCAAAGCACCATGAAATGCGTTTCGATAGCTTAATTGCATGATCGTGAATGATTGCAAAAATAAACGTTCTTTCAAGAGTCGATGCAATTACTTTTAATGTTGCAATAGGGGCCTGAAGTCGAAACAGAAATATTAAAAGCTTACAGATTTATGTCTGAAATTTTACAATGGAGATGTAGCAGTCGAACTGTCTATCTCTTTACGAACTTCTTCTGTAAGCGATAAACTGTCACCCTCGTGTTTTCCATCTTTGTATTGAGACACAACACATATTTTCTCCAGCATCTGAGCAAAGTCGATATCTGTCATGATTTTCTGAAGCCTTGTCAAGAAAAAGGCATCACTATATGATAAACGGCTGCAGAGCGATTTCAGAGTCTCTTTTTCTGTTAACGGAGCTGAGAACAGGATTACTTTCATTCTCAGAGATGGAACTAATAAAATTATTCGATAAACCAAGACGATCCCACATAGAATGGTGAGGAATATGTACCAAGCATGGAGGAACAAGAATAATTTCATATATAGGTAGTTGAGAGGTAAGGCACAAAGGAAAGCATACTTTTGGCGGTTTCCTGAAGTACCGTAATGGGAAAGAACACAAGTACCCTCTGGCGGGAAGTAAAATTCCTTGAAATCTGACCACGTCTTGATAGAAATCGGAATGCTATCTGGAACACCTGTTACATCGAAGAAGGCAATCAACCACAGTGTTTGGGCAAGTGATATGGCATAATTGCAAGTTTCAAAGAAGATGTACAAGGCTGTGTAGATCTTATGTTTTCCTTGAGTGGCCAGGACATATTTGGCCAAAAATAACAGCTTCAGATTTCTTTTCTCTTCCTTGGCAAAAACGTTCTCAACACCAGCTATGAGACTCCTTGTATACCCTAATTCGTAAGATTTCCAAAACAGATGAGGCAGATAGAAATTGAAAGCATGTAATAGGAAAAATAAATTCACCCATGAATAATACCATTGGTATCGTTGATATTCATATGTTGACTTATTAATTAATGAAACCTTTCCATCGTCTTGAAATGGCGATGAGTAAACAGAATCGGCATAACATTTGGTCTGCATGTAGCGCAAAGGTATCCTATCCGTTGATGAGATGCATGTGAAAGAATCGCCTAGAACAAGCCTGCATGTCACAATAAAACTGAAAATAACGAGCATCCAGACCGTCCATCTGTAGCAGAGGTAAAAAATGAAATTGTCAACTACTTTTTTCTTCAAAAATATACTCTTGAGAACGTTTCGAATCATGTCTGTTTTGCTTTCCGTTATACGTGTGAAAATATCGAACAGAACCGGTTCATGAAAATGAGCAGCTTCCTGCAGGAAGTCGAAAGCAGTTTGTAACTGAGAAAATAAACCTCGCCAAAGTGCATTAATAAACTTCGCCAAACATGCAGAAGACGCATCTTTGTTATTTTTCTTGTTGAGAATGAAAGTGAAAATTACAGTGTTGTTTCAAAATGCATTTTTAAATTGAATTTCTCTAGCCGTTTTGCAGTTTTCGTAAGAAATTTCTGTTTCATTGCGATAAAATTTAATGAACTTCTATCTCCCTTTCCCCACATCCGTTCTTTTTAATTATTTTATTTTTTCAAAGTATTGATATTACCTGCTATCGTCTGCTGTTGTTTGAGCACTTCTTGTGTTTGAGCACTGAATCCTTAACTTCCACTCATATTGGTGATCGGAATTTACATTATTCAAATATTTCTAGATTTTATCGAAACTGCAATGTTATTTTTGTCTATCTCAATAGAGATTCAGAAAAGATAAAAAAATATAAATAAACTCAATTTGTTTTCATGTTTTCATCGACAGAAAGAAATTTCATGCAATTAATTTTTCATTATTTGCTTCAAAGCATACGTTATTTATAGATATATTGTAAGGTTTATGTTAACTCATTATCTTGTTTTTTACTGTCCTATTATATCTACTTTCGTCAGCTTCCTCTAGTATTTAAATTAGCTACGAATATATAAGAATAAAATTACTGAAAGAAAGACAGCTCTGAAAGAGATACTGGCCTTTCTCCTCTTACTCTGAGAGTTACTTTAAACCGGCATTAGTATTTTACTAGCCTCGTTTTTTGAGCATTTCAAATAGTCTGAGCCAAAGCTTTGTAGGTATTTTGATTCCGGAGGTAAATTAAAATCTTACTTTATATTTTGTGCTAGCTTAAAATCCCATAATAAGTAGAGCCAATTATAAGCACAAGCTGTACAAATTGTTAAATTTGAAATTTAATAATGCGCTTGTTTAAACCTTCTTCTGTGTTGGAGTTGCTTTGATAAACGGAGCGATAATTTCACCTAGCAGTCTCATAAAAAACTAATGTTAATTTATCAGCTATTGGTTTCTTTATAATATAAATGTATCTTTTCTAAGTAACGCATTTTTAAGTACCTAGTCTGATTCAACAGCGGGTAAGTGCACAAGATGAAGTGAGTAAGATCATTAAACTATACCAGTTTGTCTCGTGGCCAACTTGTGATGACTGATGAGAATTAGCTTTCCTTACTTTTTCTTATGTGTTAATGTAAATGCAAGTCACTTTCTCTAAGAAAGTCTTTCACGAAAGTCTGCCGTTTATAGCAGGGGAATTTCGAGTCTTGTACCATATTCAACAAATATTACACAATAGAAAATAGACATAGCATTAAATTAAACCAAAACAATAAGTAAAAAATCTGATGTATACACCACATGACTTCTTTGTACGAAAATATTAAATTATACGCATTTTTTCCTGCATTTCATTTACACTTATTAGATTGAATTAAATCTACTTCGCGGATAGCGCATAAACCACAATAGAATAAATGCATTCTTTAAAATTCACTCTATTTGTTTACCACAGGGACACTTTGGCGCTAGATTCACTTAACAGTATTATATTTCGTTCATATTATAACTCAGAATGCACAAAATTTAAATCATTTAAAGAATTATCTAATCGTTGCCACATGTTCTATTCAAATACTATAATAAAGCTAGAACGATGTATAAAAGAAATTAAGCAAACAAAACAAAAAAGGAACAGTTTTTCACAGACGATTGAGTATTTCTCATTTAATTAATTCAGTTCTCACTTCGCGAGAAGGCAGAAATATATAAAAACTCAAAATATATGTATTAAAAATTACGAAGTAAATCTTAAACATTTATTTCCTCGAAAAAATTCCAGAAAGAATTAACCATGATTTAATTTGCAATAATAAATGAAGGCGTTAGCTTTGTTGTTGCGAAGCTACGTTTCTCTAGTTTGGAAACAAATCCACTACTCTGTTGTTTCAAATGTAAACAAGCAATGGCCGCCATCAAAAAAATTATTAGGCTCAGCGGCACTTAAACAACTTTAAATTGTTGATAATTCTAAAAATATTGCATACAGATTTACTAAAGGCATAAAAACCTTAACCGGAAGATAAGAACAACATAATTCAATCATTTCTAAAGCAAAAAATGTACAATTTACAAACATATAAGAGTAAAGAAACTGAGATTACTGAGCCGGGTAACAGAGTGGATATATATATAAATATATTTATATACGTTTGGCGAGGCCGTTTGCAACCAAAATACGAGGTGCACATCTACAAGTTATAGTAGTCCTATATACAAAATTTCAACGTTCTGAGGCTATTCGTTTTTGAGTTATACGAGATACGTACGTACGTACATACGTTCGTACAGACGCCACGAAAAATTCTCTTCAGAATTCACTTTAAAAAAGCAGTTTCATAATTTTTTTGTAGGAAAAGAGTCTTTTATTCTGTCCTTACGTACAGATATCACGCAAAAACATCGTTAAATTGCATTCGATAGCGGTCAAAATGGGATATTTTCGTTGAAATATACTGCCTGAAACTTTTCGCGATTACAATACTTCCTTTTTACTTCGTACAAGGAAGTAAAAAATGGGAAAGAAATCCAAAGGAATTGTAAAACGATGGTTAAATGTCCACCCTGGTTTGGGATATATATTTTACGGTGAAACACCGAAATCTGGAGAATGTCGACTTTCACCAGTGAATGTCAACATTCACATAGTCTCTCTTGGTGTATGTCCGAAATATTTTCCACTCTTATTTCTGACTTACACCGGTCAGTGTCGACATTCACCGTGTACTAATGGGGAATGCTGAACATATAACAATATTATATTTTGAATGTTGAACATATAACAATATTATATTTTCTTCTCCGTAATTCAGTCGCGAATAAACGCACTTGAGACTTGAAATAAGAACTTAAGAACATGAGAACCTAAAACACACAATACAATCAAAATGAGAAAGGAAAATAATAGAAGTTAAAAACTTACTTAATTATACAGTAATGAGAAATAAATGAGAAAATAAAATAACAGTAATATAAAACTTACTAAATTATGTGATTCAAATCTTATTTATTGCAACAACTTAAACTATTGTGGCACTTTATGACCTCTCTTTTCGACTTTCACCAGAGCATATCTGTAATTGTCACATACACCGGTGAGGGTCCGAATATACAAGAATGTAGTGAAATATTCGGTCTTTCACCGACGTATTTGGTGAATGTTGATATTCTCCGGTGAAAGTCGACATTCTCCAATTTCGGTCTTTCATATATGTGGGAAATCATACCGTCCAATGCTGAATGAGAATTGCCCGTTATGACGTCATCAGTACAGCATCACCCAGCGCAGTAAGAATCATCCCAGACAGCGCTGAGACCTGGTCGAGAGTGGAGGGCAGACGTGAGCAGACGGCTCACACGTCTTCAAGAGTTTATAAAAGGACTGTTGGTGCATCATTATGTTAATCCTGCATACCGTTAACTTCATCTTTATATACTTTTTTTATTTACTTTTATTTCTTTCTATTAAATAAACCATTTAAATATTACTTCGTGATCTCATGCTGTGAATCAAGTCAAATTCTACATATATAACTGCTAACTTTTTTATAGTCAGATGTATTTCAGAAACGTAGCTATGTTGAAATAGTTTTGTATGCTCCTTGTAAAGGACTAAAGAATTTTCAACCATTTTGTATGCTATTTTGTAATTTTTTTACATTATTTGATTGAGTCGTTTTATTTTCGTTTCTGTTTTGATTTGTGATCTTTTTACTGGATTGTTGGCCACCTACTTTTGAGATTTAATTATTATATCTTGATTACGTATATATATATATATATATATATATGTGTGTGTGTGTGTGTGTGTGTGTGTGTGTAAGAAAAATAAAGAATATGTAAAAGATTAAATTAGCAGCGTAAATTAATTTCCCTTCTCTATTCTAAAAATTGTAACCTCTATTTGCTCTGCGTCATTCTGAGAAAAATCTATGTCATATGATTCTTACTTAATTCTGATGATGTAAATGAAACTAAAACTCAAACAGTCAATAGTAATTTTATATGTGATAACAAGAACCTTCTCTAAAGAATTATGATTATGTGAACTCTCAAATAAAAAGACTTTTAGAGTGAAATGCTGAAAAATTCACTCTAAAACTGGACTCTAAAATTAAAAATTTATTTAAGAAAATTGATATTTATAAATTATACTTTACAGGATCAAAATTTTATGATTTATATATATATATATATATATATTTAAATTTGCTAATGTTTTAACGCTTTTTCTTTAAAAAGGCTTCTCTGTCGCTGTGCCCTTTTATTCTTGAAGGGGGGGAATAACGTGTAAGAAAAATAAAGAATATGTAAAAGATTAAATTAGCAGCGTAAATTAATTTCCTTTCTCTATTCTAAAAATAGTGACTTCTATTTGCACTGCGTCATTTCGAGAAAAATCTATGTCGTATGATTCTTACGTAATTCTGATGATGTAAATGAAACTAAAACTCAAACAGCCAAATACTAATTTTTATAGCAATATTAACTATCCCATCAAAATGCCTTGAGAACCAAAACTAACTCGGTTTGACTTAAGATTTCATCCTGAACATTACGCACTTGCTTTCTACGCTTTGCCTTAGCTGGACTGCAGTCTGTCTGCTTTTTTTTTTTTTTTTTTTTTTTTCAAATCTATCAAAAAAAGTAAGGCTTGTGTGCAGCCGCAACATGTTGCTGAAAATAAAACTGAAGATTTAATCTGCCTTGACTGCCAAATTTCCTATTCATTGTGGATCATCGTTTCTGCATTCTACGCCATTAAAATTCCTGCTCCTGGTCATTGCTTCTGAGCCTAAATATATTACAAATGAGAATATATTACAACTGAGTTTGAATATATATATATATATATATAAGGAATGCTTCAAAACTATTAGAACAGTGATAGCTATTAAAGAGAGATACAACCCACACAAATATACACTTTTCATC